AGGGCACCCCCGGGGGACCTTCCATGCAGTTTCAGCCTCCCCGGGGGCAGGGACGGGGACAGCCATGTGGAATGGCAGCAGGGCCTGACCTTCCCCCCCTTCACCCCCTCCCTCAGCCCTTGTGCAGACGGGCCAGGTGGGACCCACCTTCCACCACCTTCGTCTGTGGTCAGCTGCTCTGCTGCACCCTGGCCCTGTCCACCCTGCTCTGGACGCGCATGGTGCCCTGTGTGGCTTGCATTGGAGCATGAGTTGCCCTGGAATGTGACTGTGTGTGCAGCTCTCCCACCAGCCTGGGGCAGGGCCGGGGTATCAGAGGAACTCATCTGTGTCCTCAACATTGCCCAGCCCAGGACTGGGTACACAAGAGCCTTGGGAGATGTGCATCAGGTGACTTAAAAGAGTGGACAGATGGATGAAATGGGATGTGATACACAGACACGTCCCCCCACGCTGGGGAAGGTGCTCCCTTCAGAGCGCGCCTCCTTGTACATCCTACCTGGCCTCACTACCTGTCTCCTGACCAGCAGCTGTGAGATTATATGGCCAGGCTCCTGGAAAGAGTGACACCTGTTCCTTCCTTCCCCCACTGGGACTTCCCCAACCTTAACGGGACCTAAAGGGGCACCAGAGTGTTCTGAGAAGACAAGGATCCATGCAGTACACTGCCTGTCTCCTGAATCCTTCTTCCCCTCCTCACCCGGCTTGCCCACCTGCACTGAGATGCAGGATTATCTTCCATCCTGTTGCTCTCTTTTCCCAGAAAGGGTATGAACTTTCTTTGGAATGAAAGCTCTTGTTATTTTCATGCCAAAAACATGGCTCGCACCTTTTTCTTTCTCCTTCCACACAAGCAGGGCTCTGGTCCCTACCATTGCACTGAAATGACCTCTCACCAGGTCAAACCTTGCTGTCCTCTGGCTCTTGGGCTCTCTGTCCAGTTCTCAGCACCTCTGGCTACTTCCTCCTGGCCTCTGCCTACCTCGTGGTCATCCCCTGTGACTCCCTCTGATACATCCTCTTCTCCTCCACCACGGATGTGGGGGAGGCTCCTGCCAGGGTCACTTCCCTGTCAGCATTCTCCTCCTAGGTCACCTCATCCAGCCCCATGGCTTTCAATTCTCCTATATGCTGATGTTTCCAAAACTTACATTTCCAGCCATGGCTTCTCCCCGAAGCTCACATATCCGCCTAGTTACCGGATACCCCGCCTTGCTTTCTGGCAGGCATCTACAACTTGACGTGTCCAAAGGAGGACTTGGTCCCTCCCGCCCAAATCCTGATCCCTTGCTCCGGGTGCCCTTCCAGGCAACACACTGCAGCTTGGTGCTGTGCAAGCCTGACTAAGAGTTCCTCTTTCCGTCACTCTGGCGTCTCACTTCATGTCCTGCTGCCTGCGCTCCACTTACCCCTGCTGTGGGTTCAGCCCCCAAGCCCCCAGACCTGTTCCTCCATTTCTCTCCATCCTCACCAACTCCACTTTGGTCCAGGCCACCATCAGCCCGGAGAGGACAAGGACACCAGCCCCTAACTCTTTATTTCCATTTTTTCCTCATAATGTAGTCTCAGCACAACTATACAGTGCTGTTATTTTGTTGTTGTTGTTAAAAATAAAAATATGACGTCATGCCTGTGCTCAAAACCCTCTGGAGGCTTCACATGAGATCTAGAAAAATGTAAATTTCTTACCAGGACCCCCCAATGGGCACTCAGCCTACACTCTGTCCTCACCCAGGTTTGCTCACCCCATTATTGTGTCTGCAACCGGGGCTCCTCCCAAACCCGTGACTCCCAAAGAGCTTTTATACTGCCTTTGGTGGCCTGAGTGCTTGTCCTGTCCCTTCTTTCCTTGTCACAAGTCCCATATCTGTTCAAACGTTGCCACTGTGGGGAGGTCTTCTCGGGACACCTCATCTAAAGCCATCTCTGCCCCATCACTGTTCACCGTCACCACATCCTGCCTAGTGCTAAAGCACTTCTCAGTAACTGAAATGTTTCCTATTTGTCTGTCCTGGGCTTCGAGAAGAGCAGGACCGTGACCGTCTGCCCACCGCCATGTTCGAGGCCCGGCCTGGGTCCAGACCAGGTTGGCACTCAATAAATACTTCTCGAATACTAATACTGAAAGCAAACAAAAGAAGTGGGTCGTTCTTATCCTGTCCGTTGTGCTTGCTTCCGAGTCTCCAGGGTTCCCTCTGGGCAGATCTCTGAATCTTTCTCCATTTCTGCCTCTCCGACACTATGCAGTTTGTGTGTCTCTGAGACATCTCTCCTCTGATTTGTGCACCTCTGCTCCCTCTCTGCCCCTCTTCTTGTCCTCTCTGGGTCACCCGCAGTGTCTTCAACTTTTCCTATTTTTGTAAGTCTCCCAGTTTTGGTCTCTTATGTCCTCATCCTTCTTCCCCTCCCTTTCCTCCCCCAGCTCCCTCTTCCCATTGCCCCTCCTCCCCAACTCCCCCTGCCTTGTACCCATCCTCCACCTCTTTCTTGCTCTCTGGCCTTTGGACTCTAGAATCCACTCCCCACACCAGTTCTACCCCCTCCTCCACCAAAGAATCTCCCCTCCTACCCAACTTGTCTCTTCTGGCCCTGCCTCTCTTCGTCCTGCCGTCCTGTCTCTCCATTTAGCATCCCTACACTCAACACTACTGTCTTGTATTCCTTCCCCCACATTTTCTACCCACGCTCCCTGAAACTGCCCCCTGGGGATTCCTCCCTGGTCCCTTGCCCTCCAGGCTCTCCCCATTTCTTGTCCACCCACAGGCCCCCTGAGGGGACCTCCCAACACCCAGTCAAATCCCATCCCCCCTCTGCTCTGCCCCTTTCTGCTGCCTCACGTCACTAGGGCAGAGGCTACCAAAGCCCCTGTACCACCTTCCTTCCCATCTGTGTCTGCAACTGTCTCCCCACCAGACTGGGGGCCCTAGAGGGCAGGTCAGGGTCTGAGGCATCTCCAACCCCCAGCATCACCAGGCACAGGGCCTGGCACACAGGAGACCTTGGGGAATATTCACTGAGCAAATGAAGGGACGGCCACTATGCACCGCCCCTTCTGAATCTTCACTGGCCTTCAAAACCATCCCCCACCACCCCCACAGCCCTTGCTTTGGTCACCTACAACCTTCTCCCCTATCCCACAGCATCAGCCCCGTTCACCACTTTCCCAAGTGGCTCCTTCTAACACCCACATCGGGTCCTGCACTTCTCAAAACTCTCCTGTCTCTCCTCACTAGCCTCAGAACAAAGCCCAAACTCCTGAGCCCAGAACTCCAGCACCTTTCAACTAGGTTAGGTTCTGCCCAAACCTCCCACCCTCACCCTGTCCTCTGGGGTCCCAGAACTGTGAAGCCTGTCCCAAATACAGCACGCTATGCCACTCCCCCTGGCCTTTGCCTGAGTCACCCCCTTCATCACTCAGCAGATTCCTATGCATTCTTTTTAAACCTTGGCAGGGCATTTTTCTCCAGAAAGTTTCCCTGAGTACAGCCCACTCCTGGAGCTTAGTTACTCTGTTCTCTGGTCAAGGTGTCCATCATGGTCCCTGTCAAGCACCAGTAGCCCTGCCTGGATTGCAGTTTTTGACTCTTCCTCCTCGAGAGCAGGGGTAAGGTCTGTTTCATCCCTGGGGATCCTGATTCCAACACGCTGCCTGATATGGTGCCAGAGGCACAAAAACGTCAATGAGTGAACGGCTGAATGAATGAATGAACACAAATGCCTAAGTCCCACAGAGCTTCTCTTGCACATCAGACACTGGGCCTGTGCTTCAGTGTTTTATGTGATTATCTGCTTCCTCCCGGGGAATGTGGGTTTCAAGGGCCAGTGCGCCTGTATTTGATGCTGAATTTCAGCCTGTCTCTGCCTTTCAGCCTCTCTCATCTTTGATTTCCTGCCTCCCTTTTGTACCCTATTCACATTATGCTTCTGTGTAAAGCCATTCTGTGGCTCCCTGCTGCCCTCGGAATGAAATCCAAACTCCTGACCTAACCTACAAGTCCCTGGGCAGTCTGGCTCTGTCTACATCTCCAGCTTTGTATTGTCCCATCTGCACCTGCCTCACTACACTTTAGCCCTCCCTGGAAGCTCTTCCTGCCCCAGGGCCTTTGCATATGCTGTTCTCTGGCTGAGACACTTCCCCCAGTTTCACTTGGCTGATGTCTGGTCATCCTTTCAATGTCAGCTAAAATATTCCTTCCTTTTAAACTGGGTTACACCTCCCTGACAGAGCATTTTGGATTTCTCTTGTGTCCGAACTGTTACTTGCTGTTTGTATATACTAGTTGCTGTTTGATTAATGTCTGTCTCCTGCACAAGTTGCAAACTCTATGAGGACATTGAGGACCCCGTCTGCAGGCTCCCTTCTGTAGGCTCGGGATCCAGCACAATGCCTAGTGCTTATGTACACAAATACATTTCAAATAATGAATGAACGAGTCACACTCAATGCCCGTGATGTTCCCTCCCTGGGGCCTTCCTGGTACACAACAGGCACTTAATAAACCCTTGTGGAATAATGAATGAAAATGAATGAATGCCCACGTCCATTCCTTGTTACTTTGCCTTTCCGCAAGCCTTCTGTTTACCTTTCCGCCTCTTTACAGAGGGCATATATATAGTTTGTAGGTAGAACTATATATTCGTGTGTTAAGCGCCCCTCTCCAGGAGTTGGGCTGGGCTGGGAGTCCCTCCCTCCCCCCGCCCCGCCCCCACATGCACACAGCAAAACATTAAAAAGAAAACATCTCAAAACTGCAAAAAAACTCCACAGCCCTCCCCTCCCCCCATCCCACAAAAAAAGTAAAACACGACGCCCCCTCCCAACGGCCCCCTCCCTGGGGGGGGTCCCCGAGCCGAGCGCGGGGCGCGGGGGAAGGCTAAGCAGTCTCCAGCGCGCTCGCGGGGAGGGAGGGGCGCCCCCGCCCCCCCTCCCGGCAGCCTCGTTGCACGCGCGCCCGCGCACGCGCCCCGGACACGCCCCCTCGGCGCCCCACGACGCGCCCCTACACCGGCGTGGTTTTCCTGTTGAGCGTGTTGGTGTTGGAGGCGGCGGCCTCCTTGGCCAGGGTCCCGGGGGCCGGCGCGGCGGGCGCGGGCGGGGCGGGCGCGGGCGCGGCGGGCGGCCCGGTGACCGTGACCGTGACGCCGCCGCCCGCCTCCTTGGGGAAGGCGTTGTGCAGCGTGAGGAAGCCGGGCGCCCCCCCGCGGTCCCGCTCGGCGCCCGCCCCGCCGCCGCCGCGCCCGCGCCCGCGCCTCCGTACGCCGCCGCCGCCCCGCCGCCGCCGCCGCCGCCGCCGCCGCCGCCGCCGCCGCCGGCCCCCGCCAGCCCCGCAGCCACGCTGCCCTTGGACGGGTCGCGGCTGAGCGTGTACATGGAGATGTCCGTGGAGGCGAAGCCCGGGCCCCCGGCGCCGCCGGGAGATGCGTCCCGCGACGGCGACGGCTCGCTGGAGCGGGAGCTAGAGCGGGAGCGGCGGCGGTAGCGGAAGCGGTAACTGGGCAGACGGAGGATGGCCGAGGGGCCGCTCCCGCCACTGCCGCCCGCGCCCCCGCCGGCCTTGAGCAGGTCCGAGCGAGACTGGCAGTGCGCCTCGCGGCTGCGCTCGATGTAGATGTTGACGGCCAGCACGCCGATCACCTCGGCCAGGATGAACGACAGCCCGCCGAAGTAGAAGGACCAGCCGTACGAGTAGTGGTTCTTCTTCTCCTCGTCCCGCTTCGGGCCCGGCTCGCCCGCGTTGGCCGAGATGTACACGATCACGCCGATGATGTTGCTCAGGCCTGGGCGGGGACGGTCAGACGGGAGCCTGGAGGCCACCCCCGGCCCCGCCCCGCCCGCCCCGCCCGCCCCGCGGTCCCGCCCCGCGGGTCAGAGCTGGGGCCCGGGGGCTCTAAACACCTCCGCAGCCGGCCCAGGCCGTGCCCGAAAGGGTAGTCTAGGCTCCACCCCCGGGTGGTGGAAGCCCCACCAACGCCTCCCGCCACGTCCCAGGCACTCCAAACTCCTCCCTAGCCGATCCAGTCTGAGCCCCAAGCGGGCCTAAGCTCCAGCTATAGGTGGCATAGGCCACGCCCCAAATGCTCCCTGTCCCGCCCTGAATGGTCCACGTCCCACCCGAGACGGTCTAAACTCTACAGCTGGCCCAGGTCCCGCCCCACTCGGGTCTGAGCTTCAACCCAGGGTGGTGAAAGCCCCGCCCCCAAGTGATCCTTGCACCCCCATACGTCCTAGGTGCTCTAAACTCCTCACCAGCTGGCCTAGACCGCACCTCACACTAGTCTAAGCTCCACCCCTGGGTGGTGTAAGCCCCGCCCCAAGTGCCCCCCATCCCACCTCAGGTGATCTAAACTCCTCCCCAGCTGGCTCAGGCCCCGCCCCATGTTGGTCTAAGCTCCACCCACGTGTGGTCTAGCCCCCTCCTAATGCTCCTTGTCCTGGCCTGGGTGGTCCTTGTCTCGTACCAGGTGTTCTAAACTCCTCCGTGGCTAATCCAGCCCTGCCCCAAGATAGCATAGTCGGGACTACCCGCCCCCCTCATGGTCCAGGCCCTAGCTGGCCCAGACCTTGTCATGGACAGCCTAAAGTCCTTCCCAGTTGATCTAGGCCCCCTCCTAAATGGCCGAAGTCCCACTCCCAGCGAGCCAAGGCCCCACCTCCACCAGTCTGGTCTATACCCGGACCCCGCTGGTCCAGATCCTGATCGGTATGGTCTAAACCCTGACCGTGATGAGTGATCCCCGCCTGGGTTTCCAAGCCCTACCCTGACTAGTCTAACTCAATCCTTGACGTTATAAACCTGGGCTTTCTCCCGGGTCCCACACTCGTTTCAACCCTATTAATGTGGAAATGTCGCTCTGATTCTCCAGGCTGGGTCCCTTGCTGATCTAAACTGTTCCTTCGGGCACCTGGGTGGCTCAGTGGTTGATCATCTGCCTTTGGTGCAGGTCATGATCCCGGGTCCTGGGATGGAGTCCAGCATCAGGCTCACCTCAGGGAGCCTGCTTCTCCCTCTGCCTATGTCTCTGTCTCTCTGTGTCTCTCATGAATAAATAAATAAAATCTTTTTAAAAACCCAAAAATTAAAAAAAAAAAAAAAAACCCTCTTCTTTCATGACATCAATCCAGACTGGTCATCTAGTCTAGGCCCACCCCTGCTGGTCTAAAATTTGCCCTCACTAGATGGGGTCCCCCTTGTACCCTAACCCCACCTCCCTGTCGGTCCGGACGCGGCTTCCCTGCTTGTTCCCCCGCCTTTGAGTCTGGGGATGGCTCAAACCCATCCCCAGAGCACCCATTGCTCTTTATGCTAAATCCTCCTCCTTCTCCGGACTCCGCCCCCTGGAATTTCCCAGCACTACTCATTTCTTGTAGAAAAGCAGGGAAGAGGGGTGCGGGGGAGGGCACGGTGGGGAAACCTCACTTGAAGTTGGTCTGGATGGTTTCCCAGCACCAGCCTCCTCTTGGAACGACAGGGGTTCACGAGGCCCCGCCCCCTAAAACAAGTTCCTCCCTCCTTCTGCGGCCAAATCACTTTCTCCCTCTTCTATCTTCAAGACCTCAATTGTCTCGAGGCCCGACCCCTCCCAAGCCCCGCTCTTCCAGTCTGCGGAACCGCGGGCTTTGGAACCTAAGCTCCCGCGTCCCGGAGAGCGCGCTACACACCTGTCAGGGCTCGTTTAGATCCCCCCGAAGACCGCGCGAAGGCGTCACCTACCTTGCCCAGAGGGTGGCGATGGAGCTTAGCAAGAGCCCGGGAAGGCTCCAGACCCCAGCAGGCGCCTGGGGCAGGATGGCTCTGCAAACGCGCAGGCACGAGCGCGCGCGCACACGCCACACACACACACACACACACACACACACACACGTGCGCCGGCGTAGGTGGGCCGCCCCAGAAGGCCGCCCCCTCCCTCTGCCTCTCACCTGCTGCCACGAACAGGATCCCTGCTCCCAGAATGATGTTCCTTTTGGACTTATAGACCCGGGAGGCGGCCACGCACACACCCCCGAGCAGCAGCAGGATGGCGCTGAGGATGGGGAAGATGCTGGAGGCCCGGACCACTCCTGCGAGGGAGAGGAGGAGGAGGGAAGGAAGGGTGGGAGCCAGGGCGTCAGGTGCGGCCCTTTCCGACCCTCGCGCGCTGCACCTCTGCCCGCTTTCGTCTCCGCTCCTCTCCCTAGAATCCTCCAGTTCCCCCGCTCTGCCTGTGTTCGGCCCATTTCATTTTTTGTTTCCTTCTCTCCCCTCTTTAAAACGTCTCTATTTTTCTGTCTGATCTCCTCTCCTCTCCCGCCTTTTTCTTCTTCCTCTTTCTTCTCCCTCAGCTTATTTTTTTCTCTCTCCTGGCACACTTTTCCTTTTTATTTCTTAAAATCACTCTTTTTCCCTGAACTTCAGTGGGCCCTCCCTCTTTTTCTCTTTTTCCTTCTCCTCTCCGTATTTTGTTCCTCCCTCTACATGTATCAAGTCTCCCAAGATCTCACTCACCCCCTTTCTGCCTCGCTTCATCTAGCTGTCTGCGCCCCACCCCCTATCCTTCTGCCTGGCTCCATCTATTGCTCTGGGCTTAGCTAACGTGAGTGTGGCTGTCTGTCTGTCCGTCTTTCCCTCTGCAAACCCTGCCACCCACCGTCCAGACCCCAGCAAACGGATTTTGCGATTTCTGAGCCCCGCTGAGGCCGCAGCCAATCAGCATTCAGGATTTGCCGCGTTCTCGGGATGGCTACCAATCGCACCGCCGGCTTCCCCAGCCAGCTCCAGAGAGTGCCCAGTCCGCGCAGCAGGTTGCCTCACAGCCCAGGCGCAGTGGCCAATCACAGCCCAGAAACCGACAACCAGTCACGGAGCGGTGACTCTGCGAGCCCGGGCAGCAAGGCGCCCAACCACCTCCCGGGATACCCGCCCAACCTCAACCCGCCCCAAGGTGAGAGGAGGGGGCGGGTGAGGGATCACCGAACCAATTGGGGTCCAGAGGATCTCAGCATCTGGATGTGGATTTGCTGGCAAGTGCATCCCTGAGCGTCCATCTAAGTGCCTCTCTCCACTGTCCGCGCCCCGGCCACCCGCCCTGGGCCCAGCAGTCTCCCCCACCCCACTCTGACTCAGACCCCCACGTACGGAGCAGATACTCCGCGCTGTCATGGTCATAGTCCGTGTCCTCCGGGAAATGGTTGATCTTCACGCAGACGCCTCTTTTCAACCCTGGAGGGGGATGGGGGGGATGGTGGGGGGGGACTTAAGAGTTGGGGGAACCCCCAATGAGAGAAGACCCCCCCTTACCCAAACCTCTCCTCTTTTGGGGCCTATTGGGAGGTGGGAAATCCTGACTCCTGAGCCTGTCAACATCTGGGACAAACTTTAAGCTTCTCTGGCCTCGGTTTTCCCAAGTTAAAAAAAAGAAAGGAAAAAGGAAAAGAAAACAAAAACAAAAACCCATGCAATAGTCACTAAAAGGCCACAAAGGCCTTTGCCCTGTAACCCGGGCTAGGATACTCCACATCTCTGGCTTTGTTTCCCCCGCTATAAGAAAGAAAAAAAAAGGCGCTGGTTTCAGCAATGTCAGGGCGCTCTGCAACTCTGAACTCGTCAACCGGTCTGAAAATGCGTGGGAAACGAAGGCGCGCACAGAAGGCGAGGACTACATTTCCCATGAGGCCCATGACTTGTTGAGTTCAATTGTGAGTGCAGCCCGAGTGGACCATGGGAGTTGTAGTTTTTTCAGTTCTGCCTATAGGAAGAGGGATTCCCAGTCTCTTACCTGGAATTCTCTGGAAGGAGATGGAGTGGCTGGAGCAAGTAGAGGCATGCGAGGAGGTATACCTCTAGGCGTCATGCAGTCTTACCCCCTTCTTCCATCCCAGAATCCTCACATTCTCACACCCTTTGGGGAACCCATCTTCTCACTTTTGGGGACAGTTCCTATTCTACTATCTCTACCATATAACTGGAGATTGAGATGTAAATAAGTATAAATATAAATACATTTAGCTTCCTCGATTCTCCAGGCTCCTTCCAACCTGCAGGGTTTTGCCCATGCTGTGGATTCCGTTCACATTCTTCACTGATGAAAAACTTACCCTGCAAGTGGGCAGCTCACAGGGTACCTGCTTGAGGAAGCTTTCCCTGTGCGCCCACGTGCACACACCTCCCACCAAAGCTGGGTCAGTTTCCCCCTCCAGAGTGGAACAGCAACCTGCGGTAACCCCTACCCTTTGTGTGTTGGGGGCGGGGGGAGTGCATAAGGTTGCTTTAGGAGTTTCTTCTTCCTCAGCAAGCTGGGAGTTCCTGCCGCGGGAAGGCATGGAGTCTGATTCCTCTGTATGTCCCTAGCATTGCCTGGCACAAAGGAGGCCTTCAGAAATGGATGTTGAACGAATGAATGAAATTAGGAATGAATAGAGGGATAGCAGAAGGGGAGACTGGAGGCAGAAGATGACAGGGAAAATAATAGGGATAAAGGAAAGGATTGGGAAGAAGGAATATAAGGCAGTGAGTGATTCCACTAACAGCTAACACTTGCTAAGTGCTTCCTAGGTGGATTAACTCATCCAGAGCTCCCAAGAGTCCCATGAAATAGATAATGTTATTGGTGTTGTGCAGTGGCCAAGCGTTGGGAATTAGACTCACACTGCTTGATAATAAAACCCAACTCCATCATGTCCTGATTCTGTGACCTTGTTGGTGTTACTTAGGCCAATTTGCTTCAGTCCTTTAACCTATAGAAAGTGGACAGTAGGACCTACGTCATGGGGTTGTTGTGAGGATTGATTCCAGGTAAAGAGATTTAGCACTTTGCCTAGAACATAATGAAGTGCTCAACTGATATCAGTGGAGCTACCCATTGTCCAGATGAGAAAGCAGAGGCACAGAAGGGATTAATCAATGCACAGCTAATGTGTGGTGGAAGCAGAAATAAAATACACAGCAGTTTGCCCTATTGGAATATAAGATTATGGGCTGTTCACCACTGTATTCCAAGCATGTAGAACAATGTCTAGCACTTAGTAAGTGCTTAATAAATATTTTTATGAGAGCATGATTGAATGAGTCAAGCACATGAAAAGATGCAAGACATCTCTAGCCATTAGGGAAATCCAAATGAAAACCGCAATGAGATACCACCTCACACCCAGTAGGATGGCTACCATAAAAAGAAAGAAAAACAGAAAATAACAAGCATTTGACAATTGTGGAGAAACTGGAACCCTTGTGCGCTGTTGGTGGGGTTGTAAAATGGTGCAGCTCTTACCATTCTAAAAATTAATTAATTTTTTAAAAAGTTTTAAAATAAAAAATGTTACTAGATGACCCAGCAATTCCACTTCTGGGTATACACTCAAGAGAATCCAAAGCAAGTTCTCTATGAAACACATGCACACTCATTTTCATAGCAGAATTTTTCACAACAGCCGAAAACAACCCAAGTGTCTGTTAGTGAATGAACAGATAAACAGAATGTGGTCTATACATACAATGGAATATTGTTCAGCCTTAAAAAAGTAAGGGAATTCTGGCATTTTTTAAAATGAATGAATGAATGATTATACACCTCTCAAGGGCAAACTCTTATCCATCAGCACATCCTTTACGGTGTGGTCGGTAAGACTGTGGGTTCAAGTTCTCTCCTTTATTGAATGGGATCACAGTACTTCTCTCAAAACATTAACCATAATTAAATGAGATTGAGCATATAAAGCGCAAGGCACATAGACCCCCCTCAACAGATTAGTGATGATAGCAGTCATGATAACTAACACCTCCTGAACACTAATCACACACCAGGCACCCCTCCGAGCATTTGACAGGTGTTAATGCACTGGGTAACTATGGCAAACTTAGGGATACTGGACAAAAATGAGAAAACTGAGCGTAGAGTTGGAAAACACTCAGGCCCATGTAGATGGCAAGTCATAGGGAGTAGATTCAGTGTAGCTGGGCTTCGGAGGTGAGCATATTTAAGGGAGTGGAGTAAGGTGGCTATGGTAGCCATGAGCATGGTCCCTGGAATCAAATTCTCTGGACTCACATGCCAGGACTGCCGCTTCCCAGCTGTGTGGCTTTGGGGACTTGAATGCTCCCGAGCCTCAGCTTCCTCATTTGGCAACTGAGGACAATATGACCTCATAGGGTCTGATAAGAGTTCAATGAAACAGAGACCAGTGCAGAATACAAGGGGACTATGCAACATGCTTCTGTGTATTATCTGACCTAGTCAGGCTGAGCCAGGAGCTTATTATGTCCAGGGATAGCAGTGATGTGTCCCTGGGTCTCCCCAGAGCCTGCCTAGCACAGACCTGAGTAAGTGGGAGTGGAGGGAAGTGTGTGCAGCAGTGAGGGTGCACGTGGAAATGAATTCCAGCCCACCCTGCTCCTCACATGCTGGCTGGCCATGTGGCTGACTCCCTTTCTTTTCTGGCCATCAGCTTCCCTCTCAAACCGCTCCTTCACCCAGCACAATTGGGAGGACAATTGGGAGGATTTGGTGAGATAAGACGTGCAAAATCCTGGGGCACCTGGGTGGCTCAATGGTTGAGCATCTGCCTTCTGCCTTCGGCTCAGGTCATGATTCCGGGGTCCTGGGACGTGGTCCCGCATTGGGGTCTCTGCAGGGAGCCTGCTTCTCCCTCTGCCTATGTGTCTGCCTCTCTCTGTGTTATCTCTCATGAATAGATGAATAAAATCTTTAAGAAAAAAAGAATGCAAAAGTCCTGAGCACAGAGGCTTTAGATAACCGGCTTGACTAAATGGAGCTGTGAGTCCAGGGTCTTGATTCCTGAGGAGGGGGCTATACCCACATGGATGCCACCAGCCCCAGGTGGCTCTTGGGCACTTGAAACGTGACAATTGAGATGAGGTATAAGCGTAAGATACGCACTGAATTTCAGACATAGTACGAAAAAATGCATACTATTCCATCAATAATTTTTATATTGATTACATATTAAAATGATAATATTTTGGCTATGCTTGGTTAAATAAAAGATATTATTAGCCTTTACATTGATTTTTTATATTGTATAAATTCTATGTATTAAACTATATTCGATGAACCTTCTCCTTTTTCCTTGTTTGAATGTAGCTACTGGAAAAATTTAAATCATACATGTGGTTTGTGTGATGTTTCTTTTGGGCAGTGCTGGGTAGGAGGCTGGGATTTCTGGGCTCTCGAGGAAGGGGGAGCTCAGAGCAGTCACCTGAATTCTGAATAATTAGAACAACAACAAAAAAATAGAAATGACATAATCTAGCTCTCGCTCTGTGCCCATTAGTCTTTTAAATGCCTTACAGTTGCAGCTCATTGAATCCACACACAATCCCTGCGGGTTAGGGGCTATTGCCATCCCCAATCCTCGGATAATGGAAACGAGGCACAGAAAGCTTAAATGTGTGGCCCGAGGTCACCCGGGTGTGCAGGAGGTAAACCCAATTCCAATGGGTCTTGTCCCAAAGTCTGTGTCTCAGTCACTCCATCTACTGCATCTGTTGGGGCAACTCACAGGGACATGGGGATGGAACCTGAAAACCGCAGGGACACAGTGCCCTTCAGGAGGCAATGGCTCAGGGTTCTCAGTTTCTACATTCCTGCATCCCTTATGGGCTGCAGGCAGGTGGATACATTGCTTTATTCTCCTAGGAAATAAAACAGACCTGGATTCAAATCCAGACTCTACTACCTATTAGTTGTGTGACCTTGGGAAAGTCACTTCACTTTGTCTGAGCCTTTGCTTCCATCTCTAGAAGGAGGAGATAATAGTGGTGCATATTACACAAGGCCACTGTGCACATTCTGCAGCACATACAGGACAATTACAATAATCAGGAAGCCGGCCTTCATTTCCACCCTCCTGAGAACATTTCCTTTGGCTTCCAGGACACCCACTTACCTCATTTTCCCTAACTCTCATGGCTTCTGCTTTCTGAGCTCTTTTTGGTGGGTTCTCTCATCTTTCTTTTAATAATGGACTAGCTAAGGTTGTTCAACTAATTGTTTGGTATGTTTCTCTCTTTGCTTTCTCTAGGTGACCTCATTCATCCATATGCAATGACACCCCCCCCAATTTGTATCTGCAGCCCAGACTGTCCCTGAACTCTGGCCTCATACATCATATCGCTCACAGCCTAGATCAGGGGCCAGCAAACTACAACCCGTGGGCCAGACCCAGCCTGCCAAATCCAGTGAAGAATGGGTTTTACATTTCCTAAGTGATTGAAAAAAATATCAAATGAGAGTATTTCATGGCACATGAGAAAGATACAGAATTCAAATATCGGTGTCTGAACACGAGTTTAACTGGAACACAGCCACGCTCATTCACTCATGTGTTGTCTTTGGTTGTTTTCAGGAGTGACTGTGACAGGGACAGGTCCACAAAGCCTAAAATATTGACTGCATGGCACTTTTCTATGTCCTAGGTGATATCCCTAATAGGCATCCTGAATTTAACGTGTCCAAAACTGAGCTCATGATACTTCTCCTCACAATAAATTAGACCAAGGAAAATAAAATAAAAAGCCCGCCGTGCCATCCTCCGGATGCCCCCTGCATCCTCACCCCTGCCATTCTCAGGCACTCAGGCCACAGCCTTGGGAGGAGAAGTGACTCTCAACCAGAGGGGGGCAAATTTATTCCCAGACTAGAGACACTTCACAATTTTGGTTGTCACGACTTGGGGACTGCTCCTGGCATGGAGGCCAGGATGCTGCCAGGCACCGTACGACGCTCAGGCTGGCCCCCACAGCACAGAACTATCCGTGCCATGTCAACAGCACTGAGGTTGAAAGATGCTGTTTTAGAGACACCCTGACTCCAATCTCTCTCACATCCCATAGCCACCCTGCCAGCAATACCAGCAATCCCCACTGCCACTGTAGCTTTGGGACACACCCTGAATTCAAGTCACTTCTCCAGCTCTCCTGCTCCCAACCGCAGACTGGCCACGGCCTATTGTCCCTCTTGCCTGTCGCTTTAGTCCTATCCACAGAATGAGAGCACTCCTGTCCGCAATGCAAGTCAGCTCTTTCTACACCTCGGCTCAGCTCAGGAACTCTGGGCAGGAGAGTTGCAATCCAGCTCCATCACCTAGAATGTGTGAAATCAGGGCCTGTTCTCTCTCAGATTACACTTCCCACCACGTCCCCCTCGCTCATTCTGCCAGTGGCCAGACACACGGGCTCCCACCTCAGGGCCTTCATGGTAGCTGTGACTTTCCTCCAGGGAGCCACATGGCTCCCTCTCTCACTTCCTTCAGACCTCCACTCTGAGGTCACCGGCCCAATGAAACCCAACCTAGTCTCCTCACCTGCAACTTCACACATGTGTCCTAACACATTCCATCTTCTCCCCTGTCCTTCTTAGCACCTAGTGCCAGCTAACACCCTGAAGGTTTTATTTACTTATCTTTCCTATTATTTGTCTCTCCCTCTTGAATATAACACACACAAAAACAGGGATCTTTTGTTTTTCACTGCCGTAGCGCTGCAATCAAAAACAGTCCTGGCATATAGTATAAAGTCAATAAATGTTGGGCATATGGAAGGATGGATGGATGGATGGATGGATGGATGAATGAATGAATGAATGGCATTCTTATTAAATGCCATACGCTAGGGGTCTCAGGATGCAAGCCCCCACATGCGGCTGGTGCCTGGTGTTGGTCAGATCAGTGAATGGACATGAACTCGAATGCCCGCAGGAGGAAGGAAGTACCATAATGAAAGAGTGGACAGATAGGAGGCGATAGGGAGCAGAGGTGACTGTGGTGGACATGGAGACTGCATGCCTGATCTGAAGGAGCAGCTGCTGCTTGGACTGGCCAATCGTAGACCCTGTAGAATGAGGACCTGCGTTGTCAGATCTTCCACTAGTTCAAAAGAAGCCAGAAATCAGATTTTCAATGTGAAGTCTCCCTATTTTTAAATGTTGGCAACGGATTCAGATTTTGGTTTCAGTTTTAAACACTTGGAACACCAGACAAAGTGTATCTGCACATCCCATCCTTCAGACCTGAGTTTTTGGCTCTGCCCCAGCCACAGCTGGGTGACCTTGGGCAAGTGGCTTAACCTCTCTGAGACTTGGTTTCCTCATCCCCACCAGGAGGGCATGCCTGGCCTCACAGGATTAAAGGAGACAATTGCACTCCTCACTCACCAGGAGTGCTCAGCAAAAGAGGAGGAAAGGATGGGAGAGACTGGATGGAGAGGAAGTGGAGGGATCTCGATCTTTTTGATGCTGGAGGAAAGATCTGGGATTGCGTTGTTGCAGATGAGAGCTGTGAGGCTCTGTGTGGGAAGTAACAGATAGCCATCACACAGGGGACAGACCCCAGGTGGGCCTGGGACCCAGGTTTCCTGCCTCCAGCTCAGATGCCCAGGGCTGTGCAAAGACGCAGCAAAGATGAGTGGGAGGGAGGAGGAGCTGGGGAGGGAGAGGGCAGCAGTGGGCAGGTGAGCACAGGGCGGGGGCAGAGAACTGGAGCCAGAAGGGGGGCTGCAAGATGGACAGCAGGACCCAAGGACAGTGCAGGGATGGAGGCTGCAAGAGGCAGTGGCCTTAGGGTCCGGGAGGGAGGTGTTGGAGGAGGAGGGAGAGGCGGAAGGAGGTGTGAGTGAGGGAAGATGAAGTAAAGCCGTCCAAAGAACAGAGGAGGCCTAGGGCTGGCAGTGGAGGCTGGAGGACATCCTAACATCCTAACTGAGAGAGGGGGAGAAGCAAACATGACTGGCGTCTGAAGGAAGGAAAACAGGACAGCGTCAGGAGCTCTGACCAGACAAGGCACCATCATGACGTCTGGGGGATAAAACCCCAAAGAGGAGGAAGAAGGGGCAGGGGAGCGAGGGGACTAGGGGACTAGGGTAGGGTGTCGGTGGAGAGAAGGTGAGAGGGGACCTGAAGGAGGAGAGACTGCCCAGGAGAGGAGGGGGGTCTCCAGAAACGGTGAGAGGGAAGGAAGACGAATGCAGAAGGCTCCGTGGAGGAAGGAGGAGGCAGAGGGAGGGGTGGAAGAGCAGGGGGAGCCCAGGAGGCCGGACCCACGGGGCGGCGGAGGCCGGAGGGCCAGGGCCAGGGCGTGCAGAGGCCAGGGCAGTGTGCAGGGGCAAGGGGGATGCAGCGGGGATCGGGATCCGACGAGAGGGGAAGGGGAGGGGGAGGAGTTAGAGGGAGAGGTTTAAGGGGCAGGAGGCGCCCAGGCGGACTGGGCCCGGAGTGTATGGGGCGGGGCGAGGGGGTTGGGGGGGTCAGATAAGAGGGGACAGGGAAGGGGAGGGAAGCAGGTAGGAGGGGGAGGAGGAGGAGGTAGAGGGAGGGGTGGGAAGGGGCAGAGGGGGGTGCCCCCAGGAGGCCGGACTGGGCTGCGGACTGGGCTGCGGAGGCAAGGGCAGAGGGCAGATGTGCAGGGCGAGGGGGGGACTCAGCGGGCCGGGACCCGACGTGAGGGGAGGGGAGGGCGAGCAGCGAGCAGAGAGGACCACCAGGCCGCGGGGTCCGCAGGGGAGGAGGGGCGCGAGGCAGGGGCCCCCCGCACCCTACCTTCCAGGCAGCAGATCCTCCAGAGCCCCGAGTGCGTGAGGCCGCCCGGGTCCTTCTTCTCCGAGGAGCCGCTGCCCCCGCGGTGGGGCGGCGCGTCGTCGCTGGCGGTGAGGTTGGTGGTGTTGCAGATGAAGGCGCGCGTGTACAGCCAGTAGTCGGTGCTGATGGCGATGGTCATGAGGCCGAAGGCCGCGAAGGCGCCCACCGTGGTCAGCAGCACCTGCACCCCCTTCTCGCACCAGAGGCCTCGCTCTTCGTTCCAGCGTTTCAGCGACTCCAGCTTGACCACGGGCAGCCGGGGGGCCGTGGGCCACCACCGGGGCAGCGGGGGCGGGGCCGTGCCGGCGGCTGGGGGGGGCACACCGCAGGCAGAAGTAGGGGCCCGGGGCCTGCCGGGCTGGGCGGGGGGCGGCGAGGAGGAGGAGGAGGCGCGGCCCGGGCGGGGGTCAGAGGGCGGCCATGGTCGCCGGCTGGTGGGGGCGGGGAGCAGATAAAGGAAGTCAAGAAAGACGGTGCCTCCCCCACCGCCCCCAACTCACGGAGATCCCCACTATCTCCTGGGCTGAAGAAACTCCTTCCACTCCGGCTCTCCCGGCCTCCCTTGCTCTGAAAAAGTCTCCCTCTGCCCAGGGCAGTCTTCCCACTAAATCCCACTGGGAGAGATCCACCCCCCCCTCCCACCACCGTGCCTGACACTGTAGACACTCCTCCTGTGCCCTCCCGCTCCTCCCCCTGGTCCTCACGTCCTCCCCACAGGGAAGGCCATCCCCCCCCCCCACTTCCAGCCCCAGGGCTTCCTCCTTCTGGAGCCTTGTCCTCCCCCTCGGTCCTACAAGACCTCTAACCTGTAAGACCCCCATCACCATTCTCATCTCTTACAGTTCTGCTGGCTCCCATGTCCCCTGCAAGTTTCCCCTCCTCACCTACTGTGTCCTCTACTCAAGAAAAATTTCTCAACCTCTCCTCAGCTAAGAAAAAAAAAAAAAAAGTCTTCCCATAGAATCCTTACTGTTTGCAGAACTAAGAACCACATGGTTACCACCACTACCATCCCCACGGCCCCCCCAGTCTCGTCTACAAAGGAACCCCCTTCCCCACTCAGACACCTCTGTCTCAACCTAAAACACATCTTGAAATCACCAAAAGATCTTAAAGATCAGGATACCTGATCTTCAGAACACCCCCCCTGAGCCCTACCTGAGAAATTCTGATCTCAATGGTCTGGGGTGTGACCCCCAGCATTCAGGTTTTTGAAAGTTCCCTGGGGGGTGGTTCTAATGGGCAACCACCACGTCTGGTTTCAAAAGAATGCCCCCATCTCCCTCATACCCACTCTACAGCTTCCAACTGTCTCCCTTGGACCAACCCCCATCCCCTACTACATCTTGGACTCAAGCAAAATCCCCACCCTCTGCTTTGCTTAAAGAAGTCTTCCGAAATCTGGCCCCCACTGTCTCTACAACTTAGGCAAACTCGTCATAGCCATCACTTTCTCCTCCTCCATTAAGAAAAATTTCCTCCATGAGCTCCACAGAGGAGCTACTCCCAGGAATTCCTTTCCCCAGACCCTTAGTTCTTCCCCATTGAGAAATCTGATGTGTGACCAGGGAAACCCCCCACTCTGCCCAGCATCTCCCGCATCCCACTCCTCTGCCCTTCCACTTTCTCCCAATGCCTACAAACCCCGCAATCACAATCGTAGCCCTGGTTCTGTTATCTCTATCACACCGATGAACCCCCCCCAACACTAGATCTCCCCAACTCACTTGGACCTCCTACTCTCTTTGACTTACAAGAACTTCCCCCTACCCCCTTTCCTGGCTTCCCTTTTGTCAGCAAGAATCCCCTTCCTCCACCAACCTCTACTCATGAAGATTCCCTTCAGGAGCCTCCCCTCCAGCTACTCTTCTTGGGAACCCACCCAACTCCCCTTACTCTTTCACCTGTGCAGGAGCATGCTCTGCAGCCCTACTTTCTTCCCAATGTGAATGAAGCCCCCCATCATAGACAGTGCTCCTCAGAAAATTTTCATCCATGAGGCTACAAACTCTCTTATTAGTTAGGAATAATTCCCCCTCTGCAACCCCCATGTCTGTTCATTCCCTCCCCAGAATCCCCACCACCACACCCCCAGCCCTGCCGTCTCCACCCCAACCCTCCTCCTTCCAGGCACTCGACCCTTAACAGCTTCCACCACTCACTGTTTCCTAGACTTCTGCCCCAAGCCCCCTGTTACAGTTCAGAGCCTGGAAGACAACAGGAAACCACCCCCCAACTGGGTCCTAGTACCAGGGTGACCTTGGCCTTCTCCACCCTCATCAGCTGGCCCAGCCTGGGTCTGCTCCTATGAGGGGTAGCTGAGAAAGGTTGTCTATGGGGGGTGTCTCCATGGCAACTGGGCCTAGTGCCCCACACAAGTGTTCCCTCCCCCACCTCCACTAGCCTGCCCACATGCGCCCCAACACGGCCCCATTCATCAGCCCGCTGGACCCTGACATCCCCCAACCCCATCCCCGGGTCTGGCCCCTTCCTCTCCAGACTCTCCTCTCCTCCTCTGCTGGCTTCTTCTCCCCCATCTGTGCCCCTTGCCACCGGCACAACCGCCTCCACTGTCCTAGCAAACCTCTGCTTCCACCCAGGGACTGAGCCCATGACCCCGAGGTGCACCCCTCCCCCTGATGGGCCCCCCACGACCCAGGATAAGCAGGGGAGAGAAACGGATGATGAGTGAGGGAAATTCTCCCATCAAAAAAAAGATTTGGAGATCTTTTCATTTTGTCGATTTGAGGGGCAATCTGTTTGGTTTTAGGGACTCTTCTTTTAGTCCATCTGTCAGCGGCAGCAAAGGAGGAGGGAGCAGGGGACCCCCAATTCTAAAGCTTCCGAATTTGAGAGGGTTCACCAGCCCTTCTCTCTCTGAAGGGGCTGGCTCCTTCCTCCAGAATTAGGGGGGTCACAGAACCTTCCTTCTACATCCACCCACCTCCGATTAATAAAAAGATCTGTCTCACCTCTGTTAACGATAGGTCAACTCTCCGATGCACTGGGGAGGGGACGATGAGCCCCCCTGTCTGCACCCCCCCAGGAAAACCCTTGTGGCTCCCAGTTCTCACTGCTCCCCCTCCCCCAGCAGCGAGGGACCCAGGCGTCCGACCTGGTTGGGGGGTGGAGATGAGGAGGCGTATGGGGAATGAGGGTGCTGAGGTGGGAGGGGGGCTGAGGGGCAGCTCTGAGCTCGCGCCCCAAGGGAGTGGGGGTCGGGATGGGAAAAAAAAGGTGAGGAGACAATTTGGTTCTCGTGTCGCTGGGTAAAGTGCGGAGCTGGAGGACGGGAGAGGGAGGGAGGAGGGAAGGAGGGGGAGGGGAGCCGCTGAGGATGGGGGAGCCACGGAGAGGAGGTGGGGGGAGGGAAAGGATTGGGGGGCAGGGTCTGGGTGGCAGAAGGAAGCTGAGGAAAAAGAGAGAGAGACCCAGAGAGGGAGGGAGAGAGACAGGGAGAGACAAGGAGAAGTGGAAAAAGAGAAGCCCAGAGACTGTGAAACAGAAATGGGGGAGGGAGAAATTTGGGGGAGGCAGCGGCTGGTGGCAGAAGGAAGTTGGAGAGAGAGACACACACAGAGAAATAACCAGAGAGGGAAGGGGACAGAGACAGAGTCACAAAGAGAGAAACCCAGAGGCTGGGGGACTGATGGGGGATGGGGTATGGGAGCGGATGGGGGGTCAGAATGGGATAACAGAAGGCAAGAAGAGACAGGGACAGAGTCATCCAGAGAGGAGGAGGAGAGACAGATGGGAAGAGACAGAGACTGGGGAGGGGGGAGAGAAAGGAAGATAGAAATGGGGGGGTGAGGGCAAGGTCTTAATAAAGAGAAGGATGCTCTAGAGAGAGAAAAAGATGGAGAGAGAGAGAATGGACGAGAGGAAATAACAAGAGGATTTCGGGGAGACGGCTCTGATGGGTAGAAGGTGGCTGGACATGGAAAAGCAGGTGCAGAAGGAGAGAGGCAGAGACCCAGAGAGAGATAGGTGGAGAGCGCCTGACTGGGAGAGACCCTGAGAACGAGACACAGAGACACACTGAGGAGGCATCAGAAGAAAGAGGGGCCAGGCTGCGATGGACGAAGAAGGTCAGAGATCTAGGACACCCGCACCCTCTCCCCCACCACAGCCCGCGCCCCTGCTCCCTGCCCCCATCCTCATTTCAAAGCCACCACCCCACCCCCACTAGCCTCCATCTCTCCACAGCATCGCCTGCCGCCGCCACCGCCTCTTCCTGTCGTCATAGCAACAGGATCCAGGCGCCCAGCCAAGGCTGGCAGCAGCGCCGGAAATGAGGGGAGGGCCTTTCCAAACGGACCCCAGGAGCTGTCCCCTTTCCCCAAATCCAAGGGATAGCCCCACCTCCCCGGGCCTTCCCCCCCACCCCCTCCACCACTGCCAAGGGCAAAGAGCCCCTGAAAATGAAATTCTCTTCTATTCAAGTTAGGAGGATACAAACTCTTAGTTTACCAACATTTCCTCTCCCCCCTCACTCCAGGAGTTAGATTCCACCCCGAGACGGGGACGGGGTGGGGGTGGGGGGCACATAAACCGGAGGTTAGAGGCTTGGGTAGCAATAAGTCTTAAAGAAATCTGTCTAGGGCTGGGCAGGACAGCTCTGAAAGTTTTAAGACTAATGACTGTTGGAGTTCCAGAACTCGCCAATGGGCAGGGGGTGGAACAACTTGAAGTGGAAAATCTGAGATGAGAGTCAGAAGTTTGGTCTTGGATTCAAATCTTAGAGATGCCTGTAGCCAGTGTGTGACCTTGAGCAAAACCTTTCCTCCTTTCTAGAGTCAGTCATTTATCATGGGAAATAAACTGCCTCCAATGAATCAAGAACACTGATGAGAAAAGGCCTAGAACACTGCTCTAGGCAGGCAGTTATTTCAGGACCCTGTCCTCCTGCAAATGCCTTCCGAAACTAAAAGCTAGCCATGACCACAGACTTGGGCTAGGTAGTTTATATGTTTCAACGACTGGTCAAATTCTTGCAGAATCCTTGTAATGTGGGCACTGAAGTTCCCATATTACAGATGAGCAAACTGAGGTTTGGAGCAGTATCGCGATTTGCTCAAATTGCTCAGAGACTAAAAGGCAGAATTGGAGATGAAGCAGCTTCTTGGTGGGGCTTGATGGGACGGTCAGCAATAA